GCAGCGGTCGCGAGTGAGGCCCCGCCGCCAGGGTAACCAGAATTATAAGCTAGCCACCATCAGTGGATCGCGCTGGCCTGCCGTTCGCAAGTTTTTGCAATCACCGCAGGCCAGCGCGGTCACCATCATTTGTGCCCAGGAGTGTAAGTTAGCCGAAGGCGATAGCATTGTGCGCCAGATACAATGGTGCGCGTCTCAAGGGTGGCTGGCCGACATAACTCCTGCTGCAGTGGACCCCAACAATGAGCTGATGTCGGGAGTCGCGATTTTGATTCGGGATGGTTTGGACCTGGGGGTCCAACCTTTGCTGATTCCCTCGGGGTGTGAGCCCGCTCGTTTGTCCGGGGTGATCCTTGAGCACCCAGGGAACCCCAAATTCGCTTTGTGTTCTACGTATTTCCAAGCTGCTGCTGGTCTCTATAGGCCAACTTCAAGATGACATAGCGCATCCAGTTTTGGTCGCGGGGGATTCAATTTGGCCCCCAACAGGTTGTCCCAGGCCAAGTTTCTGTCCAGGTCCATTATGGCCGTGCTTGCGCCCCCGACAGCCACCTACAGAACCAAGACGACCAAGTCGACTCTCGACTATTTTGTCTCCAGCCAAGGCCTCGCGCCTTGGCTCCAGAACCCCCGTGCCCTTGCCTCCTACCCTCTCTCCTCTCATAGGCCCGTGCTGTTGGATATTGTTGTCCAGGAAAGCTTTCACGCCCCCTCGCTGCATGGGCCCCAGAAGCTGCCCGCCCATATCCCAGTGGGCCCGCAATTTCAAGAAGTGAGTTGGCACCAGACTGCCGCGATCGTGGAATATGCCTCGCAATTGATCGAATATGCTCAACGGCCTCTCTCCGATCAGCAGTCGAATGTGTTCCTGGACCACGTGTGCTTCACCCTGGCCCAGGACTTGGAAGCTACAATCAGTGGGAGGACCAACGCCCCTATTAAACCCAGTAAGTTCCCCAGGGCTCACCCCCTCAGGTTCCTGAGGCCCCCGCAGAGGCCAAAGCGGCTCGCAGCAGAGCCACATGGGTGGCCTACACGGGCCCGTTAAGATGGTTGTGTAACCGGGTTCAGGAATTCAGACGCTGTGTTCAGGACTGGGAGTTGCTTGAGTTCCAAGAAGTCCTGGACAGCCTGGAGGATTGCCCCGAGTTGCTCTCCACCGCGGTGACCCTCAAGGAGGGGCTTCAGGATATTCGAGTAGCCGCAGGTTTGCTACTTATTGATTTTCTGGCTGGAGCTCTAGATCAGACGTTGGCGCTGCAAGTACTAGACGAGCTGCTAGAGCAGATCGCCAAGCTCCTGCACCAGGAGCAAGCGGCGGAGAATGCCGCAGATGGTAGGGCTTGGAGGGAATGGGTTCAGTCTAACATGAAAGGGGAAATGGGGTGGGCACACAGATGGTTTAGACGGCTGGAGGCCTGGCGCTTGACATCGGTGCAATGCCAGTCTCAGTGCACAGGCAGGCCCCAGCAGATATTGCAGGTCGAAGCTGATTGTCTAGCTAAGATATGGCAAGTTTCCCCCGAGAACCCACCTCAACACGTTCCTGGTGCCGATAACCGTGTCGCCCTGGGTCCGCTTACCCCCAAGAGATTTCGGCAAGTTGCGCGTAGTTTTCCTGGCGCCACAGCTTCGACCTGGGACGGTTTTCATCCGCGGCACTTCAGTATGTTGAATAGTGAGCCGGCGGAGATCGTCGGCCAATTTATCGCTCTGATCGAGAAGGTTGGTCACATGCCGGCTCGGCTCCAGGGGCTTGTCTCGACGCTTATGACTAAACAGAAGCAACATGACACTCCAACCAGTCAGTCCTCGTTCAGGTCTATTGGCATGCTACCGGCGCTCTATCGTGTCTGGGCCCGCCTTAGGAGGTCGGCAGCCAGAGAGTGGGAAGCCCACCATCGTCGGCCTTATCTAGCTCACCAGGCTGGCCACTCTATTGTTGAATTGGTCTACGAACGATCCTTGGAATGCGAGTTCAACAGCTCAGCCAAAGATCAACAATACAGCGCCCAGGTCCTCTACGATCTATCCAACTACTACGAACATGCTGATCGGCCGTGTCTAGCGCATCGTGCTGTTGAGTCAGGTTTTCCATGTTGTTGATTTCGCATGATTCTATCGCAGTATGCCAGCGAACGTATCGTTTCTTTGCAAGATTGTGCGGTCACCGTCGGCAAACCTTGGAGGGGCATTGCTGCTGGCTGCAGTTGGGCCACGTACCTTGTGCAGATGTATGCGCTTGCGCCCTTGGACATATGGACACAGGCCCATAGCTACATTAGACTCGCTATGTTCATTGATGATTTGCTACAACAGTGCCACGGCCGCGGTTTCAACCTCATCGTTAGCCAGTTGAACATAGCCGCCAGATCGACGGCGGATTGCACCACCCACGAGTTTAAGTGCCAGATTGCCAGCAAGGAGTTCCAGGTGCTAGAGTCTCACCAAGCGTTGCAGGACCAGCTCAGGTCTAAGCTAGGACCTCTGGCAGGTTCAAACCCTGATCGTTCGGGATCCAACCAGGGGTTTGAAACTGGGGCTGGCCGCCCCCAGAGAAGATGGAGAAAGTTTCGGAAACTTACGGAGCGTCTTGACAAGAGAAGATGGAGAAAGTTTCGGAAACTTACGGAGCGTCTTGACAATCTGCGTAAAAGACTTAACAGGGTCCGCATGCTAAAACGTGCTGGGGGGGGGGGGGGGGGGGGGGGGGGGGGGGGGGCAACACTCACAAACTGCATAAGACTGGCCTGGAAGCGGCCGCCACTTTTGGAGTTGAGGTCACTGGCATCAACGGCACCCAACTTGAATCTGCTAGGTAGCAGTTTCTGGCTGCCGCGGGCCACAGATGCTCGACCCGCAGCCGCAGCCTGGCGTTGCTCATTCTCCAGGACCCCTTGTGGAAAGCGGCCCTCGGTCCCGCAATTACGTGGCATCGTTTAGTCTGGGATGCGAACACCCGTCTGCGCTTGGCCGTGGCTAGTCTCCAACAACTGCGGGCTTGGGCTGGAAACATCCCCGCGAGGATGTCTAAATCGGGGGGCTCTGCTAGGGCCCCCCTCAGCGCGGCGGCGCTGTCGCTGAAGCGTATTGGGTGGGAGTTCCAGGGGCCGCTTACCTTTGTGACTGCCTCAGGCCTCGAGTACCCGCTCCCAGGACATTCCCCCGCCTTCCTCTAAAAGCTCATGGAGCACGACTGGCGCGGCTAGCTCGCCTCCAACGCGGCCGTCAAGCTCGGCCACGCGGGCGCTCAGTTAGACGTTACTGCTGCTCGGATGGCTCTCTCGTCAGACCTTCCTGGACATCAGAAAGGCACCTTACTCGCCTTCCTCACCCATCGTATCTAGACAATGGAGACAGCCAAAGCAGCAGGATATGAAATTCCAGTCGGCTGCGAGCGCGGCCATCATTCGGACGACCTCTGCCACATATTACTGCGCAGCCAGAAGACTGAAGTACTCAGAGCCACTCACTTCTCGGATGCCGAGCTTCAGCGTTTAAGAGACCCCCCTTCCCCAGGCCCCCTTTGTACGTCTTGGGCTCCAGCTGGCCCTTGAGTTCCGTGGAGCGCCTCCTCCTGGATCTGGCTTGGAGTTTGGGGAGTTTTGGTGTGCTCAAGGTATCACCCCACAAGAGGCCTTCAGCGAGGGGGAAGCGTATATAGATGGCAGTTGCACCAATCATGGGCACTATGTGCTAAACGCTGCTGGTTTCGCTGTAGTGTGTTTCAGAGAAGGTGAAGTTTTTGCCCATTTCAGTGGCCGGGTCGGCCAGATGCTGTTACAAACGTCGGGAGCCGCGGAACATCTGGCTGCAGTCGCGGCCAGTCTTATGTCTAGCAGTGTTGAATAAATTCGTTCTGGTTACAAGGGGGTACTATTGCTGCATCAAGGCACCGAGTACCCCCGTCGCAATCTGTGGGTTGGGTTTAAAGTCTTGGCTGGCAGAGGGCTCTTTCCTTTAGGGCCGAGGCTCCAAAAGGTCACAGCCCATCAAGATACACAAGCCCTACCCGTAGGCAGCGAGGCCCGTCGATTGGCGGAAGGTAGTGATGCTGCGGATCGCTTAGCGAAGGCCGCAGCACACAAGGGCGTCCAGCCCAGCGAGGATGAGAAGTGCAATTTCGCCGAGGATAGGAAGTCTGTTACCAAATATCATATCTTAAGTGCGTTGCTCAGGCTCTGGGAGTGGCCCGCGATAGCCCCCAGAAAGAACCAAGCTTTGGCCGCCCCAGAGAAGAGCCTCTCCCCCCCCACGGGTGCGGCCTCTGCCCTAACGTCGTGGACGCCGCCGTCGTTGGTCGTGCCTCCTCCTCCTCCCCCTCCTCCGCCTGTGCCTCATGAGGTCCCTCGTGAGCCCAGAGTTCCTAGGAGGCGTCATGCGTGGGCACTGCGTGCGCAGCATCATCGGCGCATTCTGTGTAGGGTGCAGACGAAGTCAACCAAACAGAGAGCAGCTCTTGCGGCCAAGGAATGTCCTGGCCTCTGCAAGCAGCTGTCAGACCTCGCGCATGATAATAAAGGCCATCATTTATGTTATTATGAGCACCTTGATCATCCCACGAGTATTCTGGTTTGCCATAGGTGTGGATCCTTCTCTGAAGGGTTGGGTCGAGGGCTCACTGGAGGCTGTGGCGCTCGAGTGAGCCACCAAGGAGCGGCTACTCAACTTGCCCGTGTCCAGGTGGGTCGTGATCCCAAGGGGTCCAAGTCATCCCCGATCATATTTACGACCCCCGCAATCCCCCTGGCCAGATTGGTGCGCGAAGAGCAGGCCAAGGTCAGTGAAGAGGAGGCACCAAGCCCTCCTTAGTCAGCCGTGCTCTCTCACGGCGGACATCGAACATCCCATCAGCCATGTGCGTGTCCTCCTCCTCCTCCTCCTCCTCCTCCTCCGCCTCCTCCTCCTCCTCCTTCTCTCCTCCTCCTCCTCCTCCTCCTCCTCCTCCTGCCTCCTGCTCTTCCATCCTCCTCATCCTTCTCCTCCCCACCCCTTTCCGCTTCCCCATCCTTGTCCGCGTGCGGAAACTCCGCCTGGAAGCCGCGGCCCTCGCGCGGCTGGAAGCTGCGCAGGTACTCCCTGGCCCTCTCGTCCTCGGTCCGCTGCACCTCCTCCTGGGAGGAGGAGGGGGCCGACGCTCCTGTGTCCACACCGGAGGGCGCCTCCTTCTCCTCCCTCGTCTCCTCCGCCTCCAAAAGAAACAGAAACAACGGCAAGGTTATATTAAACTTTTGGCGCGGACTTCTTAGATCTGCGCTGGACCAATCTACAGGGCGGCGCCGGAGGCGCCGCCGGGGGGGGCACAGCGCGAATCCAAATCCGCGCGGCGCACCAAAGGTTCATGCTCATGCCGTGTCTTTTCTTCGACGAAAGCCTCCTCCATGCACTGTGGATATGTGAGCAATGTAGTGTCAACTATGTGGTGCAATATGCGTGGTAAGCTAGAGGCTGCAACAAAGCGGCAAAGGGCCGCAACGTGCAAAAAAAAACTCGCCAGACCCTCCCAGCGCGCGAGGCGGCAACGAGGCGGCAACGAGGCGGCAGCGTGGTAAAACCTCGCCGCACCCACCCAGCACACGAGGCGGCAACGAGGCGGCAACGAGGCGGCAACGTGGCGGCAACGTGGCGCGACCGTGCGGGGCCCGCCCAACGCACGAACACGAAGCGGCAGCGAGGCGACAACGAAGTGGCAACCGGCGGCAGCGTGGCCAAATCTCACCGAACCCATCCAACGCACGAGGCCGCAAAGAGTCGTCAACTGGCGTAGAGGCCTTCTAGATGGGGTCGGAGTAGATGGGGTCGGAGGATCGCGCCGCATCGCCGATACATCGGCGATGCACGGCGATGTATTGGCGATGCACCGGCGATGCATCGTCGACGTCGGCGATTCATCGGCGACGTAGACGTCAAGCATATCGGGCCCCACATCGAGCCGCATCGCTTGTGCATCGGCGATGCTGAGCGATCCTTCGACACCATCTACTCGGACACCATCTGGGAGGCCCAGATTTCGGCAAGCAACGCGGCGACGCCTCGCCGGACCTATCCAACCCTCAGAAACGCAAGTAGAGGCCCAAAGTGCAAGTACTGCTCTGGGAAAGAGGCCTCCCGTCCTCCTCCTGGCCCACCTCGAGCGCCTTCTCCCCTTCACCATCCACCTGATTCCTGACTTCTGAAGGCATGAGAACCCCACGGAGGCTGGCCTCCACCCCCCGGGGCAGGTGGGCCCTGGGGAACTGATCAAGCCAGTGAACCTGGCGATCCTCCACCTCGAAAAGCACCTCCTCCCTCGTAGTCCTCGTGTTTCGTCCTGATCGTCCTCGCCGAACCTCGGCCACACCGTCGTCGTCGTCGCAGTCAACTCTCTCGCCGTCCTTCTCCTTCTGCTCCTCATCCTCGAACCTCGCGTCCTGCTTGTCCCCGTCCACAAGGCCCAACTTGCCCTCCTCGCTCGCCCCTAGTCCTTGCCATGTGACTTTTCCTCATCCTTGCAACCCTTCCCCTCATCAAATGGTCTCATCCTTCTCCTCCTTCTCCTCCTCCTTCTCCTCCTCCTCCTCCTCCGCCTCCTCATGATCGCCTCCGCTTCCCACCCCTTCCGTAGCGGGGGTTGGGGTGCGGATGGGGGGCAGCACTAGGTCGACACCGAGGCTCCCCGCCCGCCGTCCACCTCCAAGGAGGGGGACGGAGGGGGGTTGTGGGGATGCGCGCCTGCTGTGCCTGTACTGCTGCTCGGTTGGTTACGCCATCCTTGCCCTCGCTACGCTCTTGAAGGGGATGAGAATGAGGAAGAGGGATGAGGGGGGAAAGATGGGGGCGGCCAAGGGGAGAGGGGAGAGGCTCCGGTGTAGGAATGCGCGTCTTTCCGTGACGCTTGGGCAAGCTCCTCCGAGGGCGTACCTATCAGGTCGAACACGCTGCTCAGGAGGTCCTTGGAGGGGTCCCACCCCTGCGCGGCGCGGCACTCGTCCGGCCTCGGGCAGCAGGCTCCCCCGTGGAAGAGCGTGTGCCCCCGCCGGCCACGCCCCTCCGCGCCCGCCGCCGTCCAGAGCAGCTCGCCGTAGACGCAGCCCGCCGACCAGACGTCCACCATCTCGCTGTACCTCCTCTGCCGCAGGATCATCTCGGGCGCGCGGTACACCCTCGTGCCGACCTGCCGCGTGAGGTCGCGCCGCAGGCCCGAGTTGCCCTCCCGGTTGTAGAGCGTCGCGTGGCCCTCGGGGCCACGCTGGTGGAACTGCTGGGTGCGGCCGACGGCGCGGGCGAGGCCGAAGTCGGCGATCTTGACGGACCACTGCTCCGTCAGCAGGCAGTTTCCGGGCTTCAGGTCCCGGTGCCACACGCAGGCGGAGTGCAGGTACGTGAGCCCGAGAAGCAGGGTCCACATCAGCCTCTTGACGAGGTCCAGGTCCACGACCTGCGGCGACTCGCAGAATTTCCTGAGGTCCGAATGGCACGTCTCCATGACGATGTAGACTTCGTTGAAGTTGCCTCGAAGACCAACTAAACCCAAAAAAAACCAAATCAAAAGATGGCTTTCGCTGAGGAGATCGACCCTGAACCCAGAACCCACCGAAACCGGCCCGGAACCAATAACAAGGACCCTGGGAACCCGGAACCGGGAACCCAGGAACCCAGCCTGCTACCAGAATCGGCGGGAAACTTTCGCCAAATCTTTCGACTTCCGCTAGGACCCCTTCAGTGCAAGCACTGATTGGGGAAAAGCCTGCATGCACTCACGCTTTCGGGGGTCCGCGCGGATTTCTCTCGGATCGGCGCCGAGGCCCCCCGCCCGGGCGCGCGCGAGGCGAGCTCGGGAGCGGCGCTGGAGGCGCGCCGCCAGGGCGGGCCCCGGCTCCAGTCCAAGGGAAATCCGCGCCGAGCTCCCAAGAGTATGTTGGTCTGCGCCGCTGCCTCTGGGAAGACGACAACAGCAAGGCACCGACGCGGCCGGAGTGCCATCTGACCAGACTGTCGGGGAGAATCGAGCCGAGGCGACGCGGGCCTTCCAGGGCGAGCAGCAGGGCCCAAACGAGCAGCGATGCATGCGGGGATCCCCTCTGTTGGTCCCTCGGCCGCCGCTCTCGAGCCCTGGGGCGTGGATGTCGATGAGCTGCACGAGGCACGGGTGCTGCAGCAGCCGCAGCAGGCTCAGCTCGCGCGCCACGTGCCTGCAGAAGCAGTCGTCATCGAAGATGCCCTGGATGCGCTTGATGGCAACCGCCTGCTTGGTCTGGGTGTCCGTGGCCCGGATCACGCGGCCGAAGGAGCCGTGCCCCAGCCAGCAGACGGGCTCGTATCGAGGAGCGATGAACCACGCCTCTTTCGAGTCCTCCCATTCCTCCTCCTCCTCCTCCTCCTCCTCCTCCTTCTCGCCTCCTCGCTTCCCATTCCCACCTTCCACCTCCGCCTTCCCTCCCTGTCGACGCCCTCCTCATGCTCCATAGTTTCGCCATGTTCCTGCATCTCATGATCCTGTTCTTTCTATGTACTCCGTATGATCCCTCTACTCCTTGGGATGTGTTCCTTCTCCGCATTCTTCTGACGAGGACGCGATCGTAGACAAGATGAGGCTGATGAGGATGAGGAGACAAGGAGGAAATGGGCAATCAGGATATTCACAAGGAGGAGGACATATACGAAGAAGAATGACTGATGATATGCGAAGGAGGGAAATAAAGCGGAGCATGAGGGTACGGAGGAAGATGAGGAGGCTAAGCAAGGGAAAGGAAGATGGCGATGACGAGAAATACTGCCATGAGATGCGGCTGATAAGACGAAGAGCAATGACATGAAGGGAAAGGCGGGCGGGGAAGAATAACAGGACGAGGATAAGGATTGGGCGCAAGAAGGGGAAGGACCCTATCGAGGACGGCAGATGGGGATGATTAGGATCATTGTTAGCATGATGGCCACAGGTGGTGATACTGTATATGAGAATGGCTCGAAGGATATTAATAGGACAGTGACGAATTTCGGCTGGAAGAGGACGCAGAACATGAGGAGGACGAGGAGCTGGAGTGAGACGCGGGCGAGGGGAGGATGCGAACGAGGATAATGAGGGGCCGCGTCATGAGGACGAGAACGCCAACTGGAATAAGGATGGAGAGAGACGAGAGCAAGAGGATAGTGGTGTTCTGGCGTAGATTTGCTACTGGATCAGCTCGACTGGACAGGTCGCACACATTAGGCGGCTGTATTAGGTGTGGCAACCGAGCGTGCACCTGATGGTGCGACCTACAGTTGGACGTTTGATGATTGGCGGCCGAGCGCGCAACCTATGGAGCAACCAATGGCAGGCTGCCATATTCCCAACAGCCGAGGGTGCAACCTATGGCGCAACCAAAACAGGGCGTTGTAGATTCGAGCAAATATTGATAGCACAATCCTTGGATGGGTTGTGCTATGTTCAAGGTGTCCATTTATCATCTCGAAAAACATCAAAAGCCGAATCCTCTTAAGGAAACTCGACGCTCCACACAACATAATAGATGATTGTCTTGGCTACTTGGCCAAACAACCTGCCCGGGCCCCGAACCCAACTCCCACACTCCGCCCCACCCCCCCCCCCGCACCCATCGTCCCACCTCCTCGTGACCTGTGCTGTGTTGCCCTCCTGTACCTCCCTCCTCCCCCCCTCCCCCCCTCCACTTCCATCCTTCCCCCTCCCTCCTCACTCCCTGCGCTGGGCCTCGCGGCTCCACTTCCTCCGCTGCCTCCTCCTCCTGCTCACCCTCGTCCTCCTCCTCGTCATCCTCCTTCTGCTCCTCGTCCCACTCTGCCCCAAGAGGATCGGGTCGGGCGAAAGGGTGGGAATAGCAAAGGGGCGGCTTGAGAATCAGTAACGTAGCAAATTTTCCCGGTGCCTCCCGGCGCCGGAGGCGGCTGTGCATCGAGGAATGGGCCCCTCGGTGGGGCCGAAACCAGCTGCATGCAGCAGATTTCGTACCCCCCCCCTTTCCCAATCCCCCCCTTTCGTCCGGCCCTAGAGGAACCCCGAGATCAACGGCAGGAGTCTCAGTCATTCCCATCCTGCCCCAACCGGAGGAGCTGGAGGAGGAGGGGGAGGAGGAGATGGAGGAGGAGGAGGAGGAGGAGGAGGAGGAGGAGGAGGAGGAGGACGAGGAGGACGAGGAGGAGCAGGAGATGGAGGTGGAGGTCCCAACAAAGCCCCCAAGAGGAACCCGAGGCCACCGAGGAGCCCGCGGAAGAGGAGGAGGGCGGGGCCTCTCTCCCGAGACGGACCCTGCGGGCCTCAGACTCCCCTGGGCGGAGCTCTCGCGGGCCAGAAAGTCGTCGCGACTCCTCCTCCTCCGTTTCCTCCTCCTCTTCCTCCTCCTCCACCACAACATCCTCTTCCTCCCTCTCCTTCTCTTCTCCTTCTCTTCTCCTCCTCCTCCTCCTCCTCCTCCTCCGCCTCCTCCTCCGCCTCCTCCTCCGCCTCCTCCTGCTCGTCCTCCTCCTCCTCCTCCTCCTCCTCCTCCTCCTCCTCCCGCTCCTGCACACCTTCGTCCCCTTCCTGGTTTATGATATGTTCTCCTTATCAGATTAATCCTTCTCTTCTTCCTCTGGGCTCCGATACGCCCTGACCCGAAGTCCAGCCAAATTCGCCCGATACGTCCTCGCGCGTCTCGGCTCAGAGATGCTCAGGCCTGAAGTGGTTTGCCCCGTTTCGCCTGAGATATCCTCGCACCCACAAGCGCAGAGATGGCCCTCCTAAACACCCGTGGGTGGGTGTCCAACTTCTGCTGCCCAGGTGGGCCCGTTTTCGGGCACCCCTCGCGGCATTCGCGTTGCACAGGCCCGTTTTTCGCCCGAGATGTCATCGCAACTCTGGGTCCCGATATGCCCTGACCCGAGGTGGTCTGGCCCGCTTCCCTTTCCCTGTGCATCGGAAAGATCAGGATGCGGCCCTCGCGCGACACAGGCGACCGGGGGGGGCGTTCCTGACTTGTGTTATGTGCCCTGGCCCGCTTCACCCGAAACATCCTCGTACCTCTGGTTTCCGATATGCCCTGACCCGAGGTGGTCAGGCCAGTTTCCCTCTCTGTGGAAGCAGAAGAGGAGCAGGAGGAAACCGAGGCGCAGGAGGACGAGGAGCAGGAGGAGGAGGAGGAACAGGAGGGGGAGGAGGCGGAGCAGGAAGAGGGGGGTCGGCCCTCGCGAGAAAAGGGATGCTGGGGGGGGAGCGTTCCAAAACTGTGATGTGTGCCCTGGCCAGATTCGCCTGAGACCTCCTCGCAACTCTGGTCTCCTATATGTCGTGACACGAGAAGGTCGGCCAATTGCCCTCCCTGTGTGAACCAGGAGGACTAGGATGAGGAGGGGCAGGAGGAGGAGGCGCCAGAGGAGGAGCAGGAGGATGACGCCAGCAAACTTGGCGATGCTTTCTGCGCAGGCACGGTGACACTTTTCCCGCACGGGGCCAGAGCATCTTTAGGATACGGCGGCACGCTGGATAGCGTGGACTGACCGGACACAGCTCTCAAACGCAGGCTGACAGCGGACAGAGGCCAAGGCTGTGGTCGTGCAGACCCCCCGAGGCGAGATTGACAAGAAAGGGAGGCGGAGGGCGAGTGGCAGCTTGAGCATTCACGCCAGCGGCCATACACACGCATGTTCAGCAACCTACTTCGAGAATACGGACCTGCTAGCAAACTTGACGATACTTTCTTTTTTTTGCGCAGGCACGGATGACCTCTTTTTCCCCAGAAAAAAGGCCAGGGCATCCGCAGGAAACGGCGGCACGCTGGATATCGCGGACCGATCGGACACAACTCTAGAAAACAGGCTGACAGCGGACAAGGGCCAAGGCTGTGGTCGTCCAGACCCCCAATCGCCATGGTGTGCCCTGGCCAGCTAGAGCGGCCGTCGATAGAGGCAGACACGTAAGATTTGCTGCCTCCGATAGCGTCCAGACGGGTTTCTTCGATCGAGAAAGCTGTACTCCAGAGCCACCGAACGGCAACAGAACAGAGGCCATATAGATAGCGTTTGGCACGAGCGGTCATCTTCTGGCTGGGCCCCAGGACCGAAACAGACATAGACAAAACAGCATCGACCGCCGACGGGTCTGCACAAGCGAGACACGGGGGCAGGAGGAAGGGTGAGATGCCAACCCAAAGCGGTCGTCCTTTTATCTCCACGGGACGTTGGATTGGCAATAGTCGAATGTGAGGCGTTGACATGATTTCTGGCGGGCGCCCCGGCGCAATTCGGGCGCCCAGCCAGCGCGCGCTCCAGTCCGCAACGATCCAAGTCGGCGTGGCCAAACAGCTTCACGAGGGTTCGTTATTGCTGGCGCGAGGCCGCGCTCCACGTCGAGCAAAGGAAGACAAACCAGATACCTTTGACTCGGCATGAACCGATCCACCCGACCATGAGGTCCACGACCGTCGAATAATTTGGACTAAAACCAAAGTGAAAGTTCAGATCGGCATCGATGACTCCCCAGCCCTTCAGGTGCCTCAAGGCCCGTGCGAGACCCCCGGGGCCCGAGTAACTTAGAGAAACAACTGTGCCATTGCGGGGGGCGGTGGCAGCGGCGGAAAAAAAGGCGCTGGCCCGCACCTGATGGATGAAGCCCCTGCTGAAGCGAGGGGCTACGTCCAGCGCGTCGCCAGCCTTCCAGACGCCGCTGTCCCGAGCCAGCTGGCTCACCTCGGGAACTCTGGCGGCCTGCGGCAGCGCAGCCGCCCGGAAAAGAGGGCGGCGAGGTCGGCCTCGACCCCGGCGCCGAACTCCGCGACCTCCGTCGGGAGACGGTCCACCTCGGCCAAGTACCTGGTGCCCTTCCGGTAGCGCCGCGCGCCGGACTCGCTCGGGCGCCCCGACCTCTCCTGGGCGACGCCGAACTCCCTGACCATTGAATAGACGTCATGGGAAGCGGCTCCGCGCCTTAACTGGCAGGGGCGCGCGCCGGCCAGCGCAACCTTCGTGGCGCGCCCCTCGAAGTGCCGGCGGCCTGCTCCGCTTCTCGAGGGCGCGGAGGGGAAGCCCACGGCCCGCTGAAAGGCCGCGCAGGGGGCCCAAGGCCAGCTCCGCTTCTTGAGGGCGCGGAGGGGAAGCTCGCGCTGGCCGCCGCTGCGCTCTCGAGCGCAATCCCCTCGTCGAAGTGCACCGTCTTGCAGCGCTTCGGGGCACCGCGGGATGGCGAACTTGTCGACCGCGCTGCCGAGCTGGAGCCCCGCCGGCGCGCTGCCCGCCATCTCCGCCATGTCGCTGGGCAGGCGCAAGCGCGCCCCAGGCGGCTAGCAGGCCGAGGGGGAAGTCGATCGAGTTGGAGAACACGCTCGCGCCCACGATCGCGAATGCTGCCGCCCGTAGCAAGGGTTCGCGGGCCCGCCCGGGGGCCATCTCCTGGAAACCCTCCAGCGCGCCCTGGCTGCCCTCCAGGGCGCCTGGCCGCATCGGCCCCTGGCTCGGATGGAAGAACAACGCATCCACCAATGTCTTCTCGCCCCGGTCGCGGTTCCAAACCTCGAAATACAGCAGGATCCACGTCCGCGTAGGCCGCCAGAAGCCTGCCCAGGCCCGAGACGGACATCGACGAGCGCTTCTCCTGACGGCCCCACTCCAGGAAGTCGTCGCAGGGGCGCGGCGGCACTGTCACTCGGCCGAGCCCGTTGCAGGAAAGTCGGGCCAGACTGGGCCGCGGCCGTCGCCGCCTGCCCGCTGCGGGCGCGGTCCGCGGCTCGCTGCGCCTGGAGGGCGGTCGATCTCAGAGCTGCAGTCCGCGCCCGCGGCGCCCTCGCCCTCGCTGGACTATGAGGGCAAGCTGGACCAAGCGGCTCGGGCCGCGCCGGCCCCCGGGAACCCGTCGGAGTCGCGCTCGAGCTCTCCCCGGGCAAGGCCACCAGGGCCAAGTTCCGGCTCGAAGGCGTCGCCGCGCCCGCCCGGCCCAGGCCTGCAAGGGGGCCGCGGGCACTCCTGCCCGCCAAGGTCGGGGCCCCGCTGCCCTGCCCCAGACCGCCGGATTATCCGCGTGGGTGGGCCCCAGCAAGACCCAGCGCAGCCCTCCGCGTTGGGCAGCGTGGCTGACTACCTACCAGACCCCCCCAAACCCAATCCGAAGACATGAATTTGACCAGAATTTCGGGTTGGGGGGGGTGCACGGGTTCCATATGCTTTTTTCAATGCCCCCCCGCCCCCCCACTGAAAATTGATGGCAAATTGAAGCCTTCGGGGAGGGTCGTCGGCTGGGTTCACTCCTGAAGCAATCCATCTCACGATGAAAAAAGAGCGGGAAATATCAGCGAACGCAACAACACTTGGGCTCGACGACACCAGCCCCATTTCCTGTGGCGAGCACGACTGACATGTCATCGCACAGGAAGAGATGCCGACGATCGAAACTGCTGGTGATACGAAGGTCGCGCTGGGGGCCCATGATCAGCGCCCGGCCCATCGGTCCTCATGGTGTTTCCCGCAATGGCGGTGCGACCGATAAAGGCATTGGACCGCGCGTCGCAGTCCCTAGTCTGCCCGCGATCGACGTGGCCCGCGCCGCCAGCGAACGACTCGCGGTTCGCCCCCGAAGAATTCGAAGGCTTGCCCCCGAGCGCCGATGGCGCCCCCCACGCAGCAACGCCAGTTCTCAACGCGGCTGGCCACGGCCCGAACAACAGCAAGACACCAGGCCCGCTCGCAAACGCCGACCACCGCTGTCGAAGGCCCCGGCTCCAGAATGATCCGAGGCCACCCCGAGCGGGTCGAACGGCCGCTTGACGTCCGCGACCGCGAACGGCAGCAACCCAGCAGCGATCCGCAACTCCCCCGCCGCGCAGGCCCAGACACGCCGCCGCCGACCCCCCGCAAGCGAGGCGAACTTACACACCGAGAAAAGAACAGACAGCATTTCACACTTCAATAAACAGGCCCAGGCCAGGCGCCCCAGGGCCCGCCAACTCGCCCCCGCTGCGCTGGCCTGCCCCGCGGAGCTGCTGGAGGCCGAGCCGAATTGTCCAGAGACGCCCGGCCGATAGAGAAATCAGCCCAGACTTCCGCTCGAAGGTCGGACCAGCTAGCCCTTGCTAACCAGGAAGCCTGACGATCCCCCTGCACAACAGGCCGCGCTGCCCCAGGCGGTCGACGGCCGTCGGACTGCCGCCGGCACGCGCAGACCAGTTGGCCCCGACGAAGGAAACATCATCGACATTGACAGCGGCGACGGGACCCCCTGAGAGGTCAGCAGTCGCCCGCCGATCCTGGACTAGCCTGATTGGGGGGAGGCCAGCACCCCGAGCGCAACCTGAGCCATCCGAGGACAGCGCCTCGAGGTGCTTAGCAGAAGCAGGGGGGGAGAACAAACGAATCATCGATGCCGGATGGGACGCCGATCCTGTAAAACGCATTGCCATCGTCAGCTCGGCCCGTCGAACGCTCGCATCCCCTCGCGATCCAGAGGCGGGCAGCGGAGACTGCTCAGGGGCGCGGACAAACTTGCCCGCCCCCCTGGCATTGAAAATCAAACGCTGCCGAGCGCCATTACTTTCCCAAACAAAGAAAAGCCCGAGCGTTGCTGGCTGCAGGCTCTGAGGGCGAATAATCCCTGCAATCTGCAAATCGAAAATGAAACGTGTGTTTGACGAGCGGTTCCTTGAGCGGCTGCCCATGCGTGGCTTGCATTTGGAAGAGACTGCGTCCCGGCCGACGCCGGTTGACACCCGGGCTTGCCACCGCGCAGCTCGCTGAAGGCTGTCGCGGCGCTCGGGCCAGGTGGGCGGAGGCGCCCCCAGCCGCGCCGGGGGCGTTCGGCGCCGCGTCGCCGAGCAAGTGAAAGAGAATGCGAACCGTTGGGCTCGCCGCGGTTGTGCGCAATATTGAAAACAGGCGCAGTCTCGCGCGCCCGGTCGCCAAGGGCGACCCGGCGGCGAACTCGGCTACGGACGCAGCGAAAGGCGCCGTCCGGGCCGTCGTGAACGACGGGGCCGGCCAGCAGCTCCACGTCGAAAGGAAGGAACTCGCGCCCGACCGCCATGGCAGCAAGAGCCCCGGCGCCGACCAGCGCCCGGGCGGCGGGGGCGCCCAGGCACGAGGCAAGGCGCCCAGGGCGGGGGGGGGCGCGGGGTCGGCCTTGACCGCGGCCCCCAAGGCCGCCGCCAGGCTTGTCGCCGCCGCCGCGAGACTGAGCAGCCTGCAGCATCTTGAGCTCGGCCGCCTGCTGTTCGATCTTCATGTAGAGGCCGGCCCCCCGTGCTGCCCTCGCCGCCGCCGCAGCCGCCTCGCCGTGCACTTCCGCTCTCCTAGCGCGGAGCTTGCGGCGACCCTCCATCGCGCCGGCTTCGCGGCGCAAATCGGACGCGGCGTGGTCCTGAAGGTCAGGACTGATCAACAAGTGGCCGCGCGTCTGGGCCGCGCCCGTCATCAGTAGTCATCCTCGAAGATGTTGTCGGCCCCGGGCCGCGCCATGACACGTTCACAATACGTGTGCTCGATAAGCTGGGACCTGTGGGCGAGGCGCTGAAAAATGGCCAGCTCGCTCGCGTTGAGCTGGCCGAACGAGACGGCATCATCGAGCACGCGCACAATGAGCTCGTGCTCGCTGACACCTGGGACGTAGACGGCAAAGCCCGCCTCGTGGCCCTACATGAAGCGCGTGCACCATCGAGCCGTCCGCGGACCCAAGACTGGCCAAAGGGCCGGATGGTCTCCACGTTGATCGCTTCCTTGCCCAACCTCCGCCTCTCGCCGTCCTGCGTCTCCTTGATGGCGAGCGCGCGGGCGAGGTGGTCAGAGCAGAAACGCCTCCGTACCCCGCTGTGCCACCGAGAAGCCACCCAGCACCGCATAGCAGTCAATATCGTCACTGACGTACTCGAACCTCGCGTCGCTGGCGACGCAGTGTCCGCTGGCGTTGCTAGTCCTTGCTTCCCGCGGAGCCGATGTGGGACGGCGCCTGAGGGATCCACTGGGCAGCAAACCTTGAGAGCCGGGGTATACCCCAAAGGCGTGGGAGCCCAATCTGTTCCGTACAGTCGGTCCGGGGTCGGAACTGGCAGCCGGGCTCGGTGCCCGGCAGGGGCTGTGTCGTCGGATCGAGAGCCGCCGCCCCGACCAAGGGCCCCACGTCCAAAAGAAAAGGGCAGATGTCGCCGTCGGGAGTCGTGCAGTAGAACAGCTTCGCTCTCTGATTCGCCTGGGCTGGGTCGCGGATCTCGCGGCCGTAATCCTTGTGAGCGCACGGGCACACAACCAAACGAAGTTGCCAATCTTCCCGAGCTCTCCACGGGATGACGACAGCTTGACTAGGTTCCACAGACAAGAACGCCGCAACAACAAGACAGCACGCCGCCGACAAGGAGACCAAAGAGGAACACGATACATACGAAAGTCTGAATGCCAACATCTTCAGCAATGAACAAACAAGTGCCTGTTCTCTCGCGATCTGGAAGGAAACTCTGGATGCACAATGGAATATGCTGGAGGGCCCAAGGCACCGCGCCGATCGCAGCACCCTGGACAAGAGCGATCATACGCCTGCCTCTGGATTCAGCTTGAGTATTCACGCCAGCGGCCCTACGCACGCATGCTCAGCAACGCACTTCAGAAAGACGGACCAAAAGATGAGGAGAAGGAGGAGGAGGAGGAGGAGACGGAGGAAGAGGAAGATGATGAGGTGGGGGACGAATGTGGGGATAGCACACGTTAGGCGTCGGACGAGTTTGGGTAGCAGGGGGATTAGGATGAGGATGATGAGGAGGCGGAAGACTAGGACGATGATGATGATGATGATGATGATGATGATGATGATGATGATGATGATGATGATGATGATGATGATGATGATGATGATGATGATGATGATGATGATGAGGCGGATGAAGATGAATAGTTGCTATGCCTTTCTGGCCCGTGGGGCCCGCCCCCGGGAGTCTGAAGCCTCTATGGCCCATCCTGGGGGATAGGCCGCCCTCCCCCTCCACCTGGGACTCGGGGGCCTCGGGTCCCAGCGATCAGCCCCCCCCCCCCCCCCCCGCCCCACCCCCCCCCCCCCCCCCCCCACCAGCCCCCCCTCTACTCTCCCAGATTCCCCAGATTCCTCGCCCAGGAACGAGGCTGATAACACAAGTCATGTCTGGTGTACACCCTGTTCGACGAAATTAAGGGTTCCGATGACAAAGTAGCGATTTCAGAGATTCAGTATTGTGCTATGAACTTAGTGCTATCAGACGCTGCTTGAACATACCCTTGGCGGCCAAAAAGCAAAGCGCCCATGCGGAGTTCGAAGGTTCAGACCATCCCCTTCTCATACGGTTGGAACTAGGGCAGAAGAACACCCTTCAAGAACATGAGACCCTCCGCTGGCAAAAACAGCCCAAAACATAACACTACTGGAGGAGATCCTCCCAGGGTGCACAAGAACATCCAGCACACACGAAGAAATTAGGGTACCCTCCCCGAGCCGACCTCGATCTTGTACCTCGGTTCGACCGTACTCGCGACCATCCCTTGCTCATTCTCGATGGTCCCTTGCTCGGCGTCCGCACCCGCCAAAAACCGCGGTCACGACAGGGCGCCCTGGTGAGGCGCGTTCAGACCAACCCCTTGATTGCTAGGGCGGCCACAGCTGCATCCGCCCCGAGAATGTGGTCAGACCGCGCGCCGAAACGTGTCGGGAGGACAACGAGATCGAAGAGACGGGGAAGGAAATGGGGAAAGTGAGTGTGAGGAGCGCTCAGTCGGCGCGTTCTCATCGACGACTTGACGAGAATCGACGAGACTGCGCTCCATAGACGGGGCACCGAGGAGATACGATGCTCCTATAAAGTTGTATCGAATGGGGGCCTGAGCACATGCGAGCCCTACCCCCACCCCCCCACGATTTCTAACGGTGGTGCGGAGGTTCATTCTGCTCGGGAGCTCCCGATCGAAGAGAACCCCTCCTCCCTTTAGTCGTGGGGGGCGGGGGTGAGGCTCACACGTGGCCGCCGTCGGATTTCGATTGACAGAGCAGTGGGCAGAGAGCAGCGGGGGCTGGGGCGAGGCCTCGCTCTTCTGCCTGGCGTCCTCGCTGGAGTCCGAATCGTCGAAGGTTCCCAGCGAGTCGTTCCGCGGGGAACGTTCCTTCGCTGAAGAAAAAAAACAAATGCACAAGCATTAGGTGGGGCATGTCCTCCTACAGGCGGGTTGTAGAGTAAAATGAACTCACACAGAAAATGCTCGAACGAATGACAAGAGCACGAAATAACTACCCCATAATAATTCAACAACTTGTATGGGAAACTTCTCCTGTAGATGTACAGCGTCCGACTTCGCAGCAGCACGAACATAAAAAAGAGTTGCTCGTCCTGGACATGCTGCTCGTCTTGGAGAACCCTGGTCGCCACGGCTGGATTCTCCTCGAAATCCTGGCCAGAATAGGGGGCCACTTGCGAACCCCACCCCAACCCCCCACGACTTCTGAAAGGGAGGGTGGGGCTCACTTCGCTGAAGGAGCTCCCGAGCGACGCGAACCCCACCCAACCCCTCAGAAATCGTTGGGGGGGTAGGCGTAGGGCTCGCAGGTGGCCCCCTACAGAATGCACCCCAGGGGGGACGCCCGGGGAGCAGCTTGGACGCCCGAATTATCCGGGGTAGCTCGGGTCCGGGGTAACTCGGGTTTGGGTTCCCGGAAAACGAACCCGAGTTAACCCTGACCCGAATTACCCCTGATGATTCGGGGCTCTGGACGCCCGAAATATCCGGGGTAACTCGGGTCCGGGGTAACTCGGGTTTGGGTTCCCGGAAAACGAACCCGAGTTAGCCCTGACCCGAGTTACCCCTGATGATTCGGGGCTCTGAGCAGCCGCACGGGCACCCCGTTGCCCTCCAAGACAGACCGGCAGGCACCCCACCTCCGGGACCTCCGCGCGGGTCTCTGGAGCGTGCGCTGCCCCCCCGCTGGCCCTGCGCCTCCGACGCCGCTCCCGAGCGCGCTCCGCGCAGGAGGAGGAGGAGGAGGAGGAGGGGGAGGAGGAGGAGGAGGAAGAGGAGGAGGAGGGGGAGGAGGAGGAGGAGGAGGAGGAGGAGGAGGAGGAGGAGGAGGAGTGGAGGGGAGGAGGAGGTGGAGGAGGAGGAGGAGGAGAGAGGAGGAGAGGAGAGGAGGAGGAGGGAGGAGGAGGAGGAGCTGGAGGAGGAGAGGAGGAGGAGGAAGGAGGAGGAGGAGGGGGAGGAGGAGGAGGGGGAGGAGGAGGAGGAGGAGGAGAGGAGGAGGAGGAGTAGGAGGAGGAGGAGGAGCTGGAGGAGGAGAAGGAGGAGGGGGAGGGAAAGGAGGAGGGGGAGGAGGAGGAGGGGGAGGAGGAGCGAGGGGGAGGGGCAGGGAGGAGGAGGGGAGAGGAGGAGGAGGAGGAGGAAGGAGGAGGAGGAGGAGGAGGAGGAGGAGGAGGAGGAGGAGGAGGAGGAGGAGGAGGAGGAGGAGGAGGAGAAGGATGATGATGATGAGGAGGAATACGAAAAGGAAGAGGAGGAGGACCTCCGAATGTGCGTGCGCATGTAAGTTTTTGGTCTTCGACACAGCTTCAACGAAGTCCGCATGGACTTGGTGGGCCCCCGGAACGGCAGGGCCGATTTCTTGTTTTGAGGTCGTTTCCGCTTTGCCGTTTCTATTGCCGGTTCTGGTGCCGTGTTATGTTCTGGTTCCGTCGCCGTTATTTTGCCGTTTCCAGTTCCGGCTCCAATTCAGGCGCCGTTTGCGTCGCCTTTTTCGGTTGTCCTTTTCTGTTACGGTTGCCATGCTCAAAAAACTCGGTGTTGTTGCCGCTTCTGTTTGGAAGCGATGAAAACGGGGGGCGGCCCTGCCGTTTATCGAAGGCGCCTGCGAAGGACCTCCTGGCGCGCGCGATTGAACAAAAATGTTTCGCGCCATGCGGGGCCTACTCACCAGCCCCGGGGGAGGGAGGGCCGCATTTGTCCATCGCAAGCCGACAGTACTGATCAGGCCCGCGCCCTCATGAGTAGCAGGGGTATTTCTAAGAGGCCTTCCCCCCTCCCCGACCTCCCCCTTTCTGATGGGCCTGCTTTCCACCACCACCACCAGAAGTTGGAGGGGGGAAGGAGGAGAGGAGGAGGAGAATGGGGAGGAGGAGGAGGAGGAGGAGGAGGAGGAGGAGGAGGACCCCCTCCCCCTCCAACTGATGGTGGTGGTGGAAACAGGCCCATCATGATAAGGCCCGCGCCCCAAGTTGCAGGGTGCTTCTGAGAAGCCTTCCCCCCTCCCCGACCTCCCCCCTTCGCGTGGCCGTCCGTTCTCGGGATCGGAGATGATCCGAGTTTTTGGGCGGCCCTTGTCCGCTCTGGGCCTCCGCGGGCCCCTCTGGAAGCCCCCCAGGGACCTCCAGAGGCCCTGGGGCCTCCCCCCCATCCGTCTCTCCGCCTCTGCTCCTCCATCGGCCCCCCCCCATCCCCCCCTTCCTCCGCCTCGGGCTGCCTCGTCCTCCCACCACCCTGCTCGTGGTCCTGCTCTTGCTGCTGCTCCTCCTCCTCCTCGCTCTCTCCGGGCCTCTCTCCCTCCCGTCCTTCTCCTCCTTCTCGATGTTTCTTCGCGTCGTCGTCTTATCCATACCTTCCATGCCCTGCTCATCTTCCTCGCCTTCCACCCCGTCCCCTGCTCATCCTCACCCTCCTCATCTGCCTCCCGCTTCTCCATTATGTTCCGCCTCCTCCTCCATCCTCGTCCTTTCTCTCCTCCGTGGTCGTCCGTCACCTCATCCTCTCGCCATCGTCGTCAAAATGTGTGGTCGTGGTGGCCGTCGCCGTCGCGGTGGTCGAGGTCATCGCCGTGGTCGTCGCTGCTTTGGTCGCCGGGCCCCGCTGCTGCTCCTTGCCGCTGCTGCCGATGCGCAGCCGGCGGGGCCCGCTGCCGTGCTGCGGGCTGAGGGAGTCGCAGCAGAGCGCCGCTACGGGGATCCTTGTCGCCGCAGGGGGGGGGAGGAGGAGGAGGAGGAGGAGGAGGAGGAGGAGGAGGAGAGGAGGAGGAGGAGGAGGAGGAGGAGGAGGAGAAGGGGAGGAGGAGAAGAAAGGGAGGGGGAGGGGAGGAGAAGGAGGAGGAGGACGGGGCAGGGGGGGGAGAGGAGGAGGAGGAGAAGGAGAGGAGGGGTGGGGGGGGGAGGAGGAAGAGCGGAGGAGGAGGAGGGGGGGAGGAGAGGAGGGGGAGGAGGAGGAGAGGAGGAGGGAGGAGGAGGAGGAGGAGGAGGAGGAGGATGAGGAGGAGGGAGGAGGGGAAGAGTGGAAAGGAGAAGGATGAGGAAGAAGGAGGGGGAGGAGGAGAAGGAGGAGGAAGAGGAGGAGGAGGAAGAGGAGGAGGAAGATGCGAGGGAGGAGAAGGATAATGATAAGGAGGAGGAGAGAGGAAGGAGGAAGATGATAAGGCCGAGGAAGGGGAGGAGGACGAGTGAGAAGAAGGAGGATGGAGAGAAGGAGGAGGAGAGAGGAGGAGGAGGGAGGAGAGATGAGGAACAAGAGGAGCAGGAGGAGGGGAGGAGGAGGAGAGAGGAGGAGGGGGAGGAGGAGGAGGAGGAGAGGAGGAAAAGAAGGAGGAGGAGGGGAGAAGGAGGAGGAGGTGGAGGAGGGAGGAGGGAGGAGGGAAGAGGGGGGGGGAGGAGGAGGAGGAGGAGAGAGGAGGAGGAGGAGGACAGGAAAGGAGGAGGGGAGGAGGAGGAGGAGAGAGGAAGGAGGAGGAGGAGAGGAGGAGGAGGAGGAAAAGGGAGGATGAGGAGGAGGAGGAGCGGAGCAGGAGGGAGGAGGGGGAGAAGACGGAGGAGGAGGAGGAGGAGAAGGAGAAGAAGGAGGAGGAGGGGGAGGAGAAGAACGAGAAGGAGGAGGAGGAGGAGGAGAAGGAGGAGGAGGTCGACGAGGAGGATAAGGAGGAGGAGGACGGATAAGGAGGAGGAGGAGGAGGAGGAGGAGCAGGAGGAGGAGGAGGAGGAGAAGGATGAGAAGAAGAAGGAGGAGGATGGGTCAACTCTGTTTTTGTTGCCAGTGCGAAGGAAGCCCTGTGGCACGGACGGCGGGCACCGGGGGGAGGCGCTCGCCTGGCGCGACGCGGCGAATTCACGAAGCAATCGGGCGCCCCAGGCCGCTCGGCCAGGCGCTCACGCAGAGCGACCCGCCACTCGGAGAGGCTGACGCGTCAGCTCGCCCAGCTGGCCGGTTTCCGGCGCAAGGGGCGAGTCAGGGCATCGAGGAGGGCGCACAGCGGCAGAGCCGAAGGCCAGCTGCGTGCCGTGCAGCAGATGTCGCACACTCCTGTTGTTGCTTCCCCACTTCCGCCAGACCCGATCCTTCTCCTCTTCCTTCTCCTCCTCCTTCTCCTCCTTTTCCTCCTCCTTTTCCTCCTCCCCGTCCACTTCCCCCTCCTCCCCCCCCCTCCTCCTCTTCTTCCTCCTCCTCCTCCTCCTCCTCGAGGAGCCCAAGAGCAGAAGGCGCAGACGCTGAAACAACAACATGCGTAACCAACAACATTATGATATCCTAGCCGCTGAAACAAATAGCCATGCGAAACACCCAACCGTGTGCAGTTATGAGTGCCCGTCGTTGCGAGCATCGCCTTCGGTGGATCTCCCTATGGGGCCACGGAGCGCATCAAGGGTGTGCCGAAACGGGGCCCGGCCCCCAGGCGGGCGCGGCCACTGGGGCCTGCGGTTGATCCCCCTGCGGGGTCACGACGCGTGTGACGGGCGTGCGGAAATGTGGCGGGGCCGTCGTGCGGCTGCCACTGGGGCCTCAAGTGGAGCCTCCTCTGGGGCCACGAAGCGCGGCATGCGGGCCCTGCCGCTGAAGCCTCAGGTGGAGCTCCCGGTGTGGCCACGAAGCGTGTGAGAGGTCTGCCAATATGGGTGGCAGGGGCGCATGCGGCCAACCCCAGGGGCCTCAGGTGGAGGCCCCCTCCGGGGCCACGGAACGTGTGGGGGGTGTGCCGAAGTGGGTGGTGGGGACGCGTGCGGCCGCAGCCTGTGGTGCCTCACGTGGAAGCCCCGATGGGGAACGGGCACGCGAGGCACCCTGCCCCACCATTTCGGGGCAGGGCGGGGAAGGTGGCAAAGCTAATCCGCTGCCACGGTGCATTGTTCTTTCGCGGCTATGGATCGACCGCGTCTGCGACACCGAGACGGACCTCCTCAGAACCTCACAACCCCACTTCATGTGATACGCTCTCCTCGCGCAAATATAAAGGGCGACTTGGAAACAACTCGGACAAACAGCTGGTGCGCCCACTCTGTCACATTGCCAAGTCAGCTGGCACATATGGCTCAGGAGAACCTCGACAGGCCTGGCGAACTGCGTGGGGACTCGCGTGGTTGCTCAATGGGCGACAATGTTCAAAACCACTCGGATGCAGCCCCCAAAGCGCACGAATCTGTAGGGGACCCCCCCCCGTTGCTCGAGTTCTGGTGGGGTTGCCCTGCAACTGCTGCCTGGTATCCAATGGCTTCCTGGGCGGTTTCCTAGCATTCGAATGCCGAAACATCGTTCGGGATCCGTCGCGCCGTCACAGGATGAAACAAGGGGGCGGCGCGCGGAACATCTTCAACCCTGCAAATGTCTTTAGGACCCCCCCCCAATCACGGGCAACACGTTATTTTTCGGCAGTCGTATTGAAGGACTGGGGTCCCACCAACAGGGGGTAACTACTCAATGTTGTTCCGAGGCACCCGCCGCGCAACGACGACGATGCCGATAGCTACGACTACGATTGCGAGTGCTCAACGACTACGACTATGCCCCAGGAGCGCTCTCACGGAGGAGACGGTCTTAGAACCAGCCCTATTCAGCGCCGAGAGAAAAAGGGCGAGGGGGGCGGTGGGGGACCAACACTAAAGTGAAGTCAGGCCTGTCCCCCTACAGGGGGATCTTGGAGGAAAAATAAAACATACTATGGTCAAACAATGCTCAAAACTAGTCCCCAGACTATTTTTTACTATGTTTGCATATTCCCCCTGTAGAAGGACAGGCCCGACTTAACACTAAAGACCTTCCAGCGCCGAGAGAAAAGGGGGGGCGGGGGGACCAACACTAAAAACCTTTAGCCACAAAATGCAAGGCGAAACCGTGAGCACGGGCAATGCCAGAGCCGGCAGCTCCGCCCCTGCTCGGGCTCGGAGCTCGCGGGTGCTCTTGTCCCGCGGAGCTCAGGGCGATACGACCCCCCCCTTTGCGCTGAAGGTGCACGATGGCGACGTGCATGCGCACAGCATCGACGAGCAGATCGTGCCAACAAGGAGCGAACGTGCCAACTGGGCCCAGGAGCGGATGCCGGCTAGGACCAGATCCCACGCGTGCAGAAACAGCGCGGTAGTGTGACCCAATTCCCTGTTAACATGCGGCCACGGAACGTGTGAGAGGTGTGCTGACACGGCGGCGGGGGGGGGGAGCGTGCGGCCGCAGCCACTGGGGCCTCCGGTGGAGCTCCCTGTGGGGGCCACGAAGCGTGTGAGGGGGGGGCGATAGCGGGTGGCTGGGGCGCATGCGGGCCGCGGCCACTGGGGGCCCTCAGGTGGACCTCCCTGCGGGGCCACGGAGCGTGTGGTGGGCGTGCCAACCCGGGTTGCGGCGGCGCGTGCGGCCGCGGGCACCGGGGCCCTCGGGTGGAGCTCCGCGTCGCGGTGGGCGGCGCGGGCCCGTGCGGACCGCGCCACCAGGAGCCAGGATGGCAGGAGGCAAGGATGCAGTGAGGAGGTGGAGGAGGAGGACAGGACAGGAGAGGACGGTTGGACGCCGTCTCGCCAAGAGAAAAAAGGTTGGGGTAGAATGCTTATGCCACGTGTTATCATTCGACTTGCGGAACCCGCCCCCAATGCCCTCTCGCTCCGACGGAGGGGGGACTCAATGGCGTCGGCGGCCGGGCCTGCTGCTTGCTGGAGACTTGGCGCGACATCGACAGGCGACAAGAACGGCCACGCAATCAAAGGTACAGGATCGTGAGCAGGTCGTCCAAAGATTCTGGCACGAGGGGTGTTTGAAAACGCAGGCTGGGTCAGCACGAAGCAAGGCTGAACCTAAACGGCATTTTTCGTTTTCGTTTTGTTTTCGTTTCCCTCGTTTTGTCTTCAATCCACCTCTACCGCAAAGCGAAGTCGAAACGAAAACGGCCCACGAAATCGCCAAACCACCGTTGAGGTCCAGCCCTGGCACGAAGCCCGCCGCCATGGGGATGCTCGCCGCACATGGGGAGCCAGGGCTGAGGCACCTCCTCGAGATTAGAGATTAGGGGATCCAGGTCGTTGGACGGAGCTGGCCCTTTGGGATGACTGCGGAGGCTCCCTCGAGTGCTCAAAATCGTCCTCCTCCTGTTCCCCCTCCTGCTCCTGAACCTGCTCCTGCTCCGCATCCTCCTCCTCCTCCTCCCCGTTCTCCTGCTGCTTGCTCCTCACTCCTGCCGCCCCTTCTGCTGCTCGTCCGCATCCCTCCACCATCGCCGTCCCTCCTCCACCCTCACTTCTATGCTCCCCATCAATGACTCCGATCATCCTCATCGCTTCTCCGGGTGTTCCGCCTCCAGGGGGAGGAGGAGGAGGAGGAGGAGGAGGAGGAGGAGGAGGAGGAGGAGGAGGAGGAGAAGGAGAAGGGGAAGCAGGAGGAGGAGAAGAAGGAGGAGGAGCAGGAGGAGGAGAAGGAGGAGAAAGAGGAGGAAGAGGAGCAGCAGGAGCAGGAGAAGGAGAAGGAGCAGGAGGAGGAGGAGGAGGAGGAGGAGGAGGAGGAGGAGGAGGAGGAGGAAGAGGGGGGGGGGGGAGGACGAGCAGAACATGCACGAATGGGGCAAAGATGAGGAGTGGCAGCAAGACGCGCAGGAGTGGGAGGACAAGGACGAGGACGAGGACCGGCGTGAAAGCGCGGATCCTGAGCGCCATGGGGGGGAGGGGGGGCGCTCCGTGAGGAGGCGGCGGCTGCCCTGCAAAAGTGTTGAGATTCGGGTTTGGGAGAGGGTGCGCGAAACTCAACAGTGTGTAGACAGAGGCTCTCAGGCCAGCAGCTTGAGCCAGGAAGGCTCCATGGGGTGGCGGCGAACGATGTGGTGACGACGCCGGTGCTGGTGTTCATGATGCTGCTGATGCTGCTGACGACGATGATTACGACAATGATGATGACGATGTTGATGACGAAGACGACTGTAACGGTAACACAAGACTACTCGCCAAAGAAAAAAAGAGAGGAACAGGCGGTAGGCGAGCGGAAGGTGCGGGAGAACAAAAGGAGAGGATGATGGGGAACGGATAGTGAGGAAGGACACTAACGAAACGAGCAGAAGGAGGACGAAGATGGGCGAGGAAGATGGGGAAAAGAAAACGGGGTGGGCGGAGCGGTGATGAAGGTGAGAAGGAAGCGGAGAACAATGATGATGGAGAGGAATGCGAAAGCGGAGGAGGGTCCAAAGGAGGAACAGGACGAAAACGAACAAGACGAGAATAAAGGGAACGGAGAAAGGATCGGCAGAGACGGATCCAGAGGTCTGGACCCTCTTCCCGGGGCCGCCCGAGTACTGTCCTGACCAATCAGCTATGGAAGTTCCGCCTCAAGTTAAGTCGGGCCTGTCCCCCTACGTAGTCAAACCATACCCCAACAATATTAAACAATGGTCAAACAATTCGCTTCCAGACTATTGCTGACTATTTTTGGATACTCCCCCTTTAGAGGGACAGGCCCGACTTGAGCCTCTGGGCCATAACGAATGTTAGGTCGGCGCCCGGGTCTCTGAGCCATCACCCGAAGGGGCTCGGCCGACCCCAACGCCGACCAAACCCATTCTCTTCGGGGATCCTGCAGGGGCCCTGGGACACACAAATAAATACACACAAATAACAGGATTCGCAATATTTTCCCCTATTTTCTCGGTTGTTGTCCTCCCCCACTTCCTGTATTTTCCCACATTTTCTTAGGGATCGACGAGTGTGTTTCCCCTCCTGAGATCCACTGACCTGGGCCAATCCAGACCCAGGTCAGTCAGGCTTTGCAGGATCCTGCGAGACCAGGCAGCATCCTGAAGGATCCTGCACCCAGACTCGGGTCGGTGCGACGCTGGCTCTGCAGGATCCTGCAAGCTCCGGCGCTCTGACTGGCCCCCGCTTGCATTCACCCCCGTCTCCTGAGCCCCGATCTCTGACCCAGATCTGGGGCCGGCTTCACGCGCCGAAGCAGAAGTCCTCTTCGGTGGTCTTCGATCGCAGAGCGAAGGGGCCCTCCCAGGGAACACGCGGCCCGCCTGGCTCACCGCGCAACCCAGCCCGCAGAAGCTTTCGCTCAGCGCTGGCCGCCGTGTCAAAGACGAGGCTCCTCCACCTCGTCCTCCTCCTGAACTTATATTTAGGAAGACGCCAACCATACACCAACACCGATCCTGGCCAGGATCACCCTGGGCCCAGGATCGGTGTATACGCCCTCCTGCCCTGTGCAGAATGTATATACACCGATTCGGGAGCGGCCAAGAGGGGGGTGTCCAAGAGGGGGGATTACAAATCATGACCAGCGGCATGTGCGCGGCCCAGCGGGGGGGCCTGGGACGTAATGAAATAAGAAGAGGCGCCATGAAATCTGCGGAGATCTCATGGCCCACGCCATGATATCCACCCCCCCCTAGTCATCACCCCCCTCTTTTCCGCCCCCGAGATCGGCCTGACCAGGATCGGTGCATAGCTGATGCCCTCCGGGCATTCCCTCGCTGGCCAGCGCTCCACGACCACGACGCGCGAAGGGCAGAGGCGAGGGGCCGGAGGCTGGCTGAGGCAGAGGCCCATACCGAGGGGCAAGAGCTGGCCGCGGGGGGGGGAGACGAGGGAGGTCCTCCTTCCCTCCCTCCCTCCCTCCCTCCCTCCCCTGCCCCCCCCTCCCTCCCCCCCTCCCTCCCTCCCTCCCTCCCTCCCTCCCTCCCTCCCCCCCTCCTCCTCCTCCTCCGCCCTCGCCCCCGCTGCACGTCCACCGCAGCCAGTGGGGGGCGTTGAGGATCTGGGGCTGCTTCGGACCTGCTGCGCCGTCGGACCCTTCGGGGGTCTCCCGGGATCTCGAGAGGCCTCCCGATGGCTGCTGTTCAGATCGGGTGACTCGATCGTGGCTCCTGATCCTGCCTTCTGCTGCTCCTTTTTCCCCGGCACGTGTCAGGACCAACAATAATGACGTTTTCGCCTCCCATCTCCCTCCTCACTCACTCATTCCCTCCATCCCGTCCGCCCCCATCACTCCCTCCACCCCTTCCTCCGTCATCCCTCCTCTCATCTTCCTTTCCCCTCCTCGTCCACTGCCCAGCCCTCCTCCCTCCGCCCAATCCCATCCCAGGCCAACCAAGCAACGTCGCGTGGGGGCAGGTGCTCAAGATGCAAATGGGCGACGATCAAAAACAAACCTTACGCGAGATGGCGCAGCGGCATAACGCGGCGGCTTACGCGGGCCGCCAGCGCGGTACGCTACGCTGGAAGGGAAGGCGCTTACGCGCGACCGTACGCGAGCAGCTTACGCGCCGATGTCGGCAAGGACGACCCTGTCAATTTGTTGCGTCGGTCAAATGAAACATGAACACCCTGCCGACGGAAATGCCGATGGTAAGCACCATCCCTCCTTGGAGGCCACTGGGGAATCCGCGCCGCTTCGCGACGACGGATGGCAAGGAACAGACTCCTGATTGCGCCGCGTCGCTGGTGCCTCCGCGATGCGGCGCGACCCTCCGATCTGACGTACTCGGGCTCCGTATTCCGTCGCCTCGAAAAAGGCCCGGCGGCGAGCGAGAGGGGGCATTGAACAGGGGCGGGTCTTCTCAGAAGGCTCGCAAGTTCCACGAGAAGTGCTCCGAGCTTCCCCCGAAGATAGAAGAAAGCTTAAATTTTTCGGAAGGCAAGAAGGCTCGTGAGAAGTCCAGTCGCCTTCTGAGAAGGCCTTCTCCTTCTCACTTCCCCCGTCGCTCGCCGCCGCGAAGGGGCCCCGAAGCCGCGGGGGTACAGCGCATCGTGGCCCGGGGCGCGCGAGCGGACGGGGGGGGGGCAAGACAACGCATCAGAAGGGAAGGCTGCTGCCAAGAGACCCAAGGGGACTTCACGGCCCCGGACCGGGACACGAGTTCTTTGACGGACCAAGAACGCACACACACATACCCCTAGGCGGGTCGGAGGAAGAAAGACCGACTACATGGGTGCGGGTGCGAACTGTCGGATCCCGGGCGAGGCTCCCGTTCGAGCGGGGACCCCCGTCCAACAACAGGGGTCCATAGCCCCATCCGTCTGTTCCTCCTCGTCCCTCCTCCTCCTTCTCCTCCTCCTCCTCCTCCTCCTCCTCCTCTTATTGAATGTGTGAATGTGTGTGTGCGCGTTTGTGTGTGTGTGTGTGCGTGAATGTGTGTGTGTTGTTTGTTCGTCAATCTTAGCATGGGGGATACGGGTCCTGAGGGCCGCAGGTCCTGGACCCTGGTGCCTTCCCCCGGGACGATGTTTGATCCTGGATCGTCTTCTGGCAGCCCCGGGGGCCCGTTGAGGGCCCCGGGAGCACGAGGACAAGGAAAGAAGCCTCAGGACCCGTGTCCCTCGGGGCCCGCTTCCCTTATGGCGAATCTCCCCCCCACCTGATTTCCACCCCACTCTTCGACGACCCCGATTCCCCGCCAGGCGCGATCAAACAAATAGTCCCCCTGCTTGGGCGAGTCAGCGGCGGGTCGCCCGCCACGAGGAAACACAGCATGGCAGCGTTGGCGATTAGAGCCGACGCCCAGGCGCTAGCGGAAGGGCGACAGGCGTGCCGCGAGCGGCTCGGCAGCGCTAGCAAGGTGCCAAAGTGCGCCCGCTCGGAAGTGTCGCGTCCTTCGTGCCGTTTGTCCTCATCCGTGGCGCGGTCGCACGCCGATGTCCAACGCGCGTAATTGAAAAACAGATCCTGGCGTGGGACCTAATCAAATTCAGTTGTGATTACCGCGCTGTGGTACCGCGTTCGATGGAGCTCCCTATGTGACAACGCAAGCGTGCGGAGTGTCCTGTAATGGTTGGCGGAGACGCATGCGGTCCGCGGCCACTGGGGTCTTCGGTTGAGCTCCGTATGGGGCCACGAAGTGCTGCGGTGGGAAGTGGGGGGGGGCGCATGCGGAAGCGGCTACCGTGACTTTCGGTGGAGTTCCCTTTGGGCCACTCTCGGTGGAGCTCCCTACGGGGCCACGAAGAGCTGTACTGGATGGCGCGGACGAATGCGGCCGCGGCCACTGGGGCCTTCGGTGGAGCTTCCCATGGCACGAAACGCTACACTGGGTGGCGCGAGCGAATGTGGCCGCGGCCACGGGGGCCTTCGGTGGAGCTCCCTATGGGGCCACGAAGCGAGTGGATGTTGGGGATGCATGCGGCCGCGGCCGCTGTGGTCTTCGGTGGAGCTCCCCATGGGGCCACGAAGCGCTGTCCTCGATGGTGGGGACGCATGCTGCCGCGGCCACCGAGGCGCGGCACTGGGTGGGTGCGCATGCCGCCGCGGCCTCTGGGGCTTTCAGTGGAGCTCCCTTTGGGGCCACGAACCGCCGCACTGGATGTTGGGGGCGCATGCTGCCGCGGCCACTCTCGGTGGCCACGAAACGCCGTACTCGATGGCGCGGACGCACACGGCCGCGGCAACTGGGGCCTTCGGTGCAGCTCCAGGTGGGGCCACGAAGCGCTGTACTGGGTGGTGGGGGTGCATGCGGCCGCGGCCGGTGTGGTTTTCGGTGGAACTCCCCATGGGGGCACGAAGCGCTATCCTGGATGGCGCGTGGCACTGTCTCTTCAAAAAGAACCCAACACATCAGGATGGTTGGGAACAATGTCGCTCCCCACGCGGGGTCTATTCATCAACCGTGAGAGAGTGGTGGTCAATGGTGGATCAAGCAGGCGGCAAGAGAAGAACAAGCAATTGCGTAAAC